CGCGCGTCCGCGTCCGGTCTAAGGTCATTGCTTGGGGCCAGCCCAGCGAACGATATTGAACAAAGGAATCATTGTGGCTGTCAGCGGCAGGCTCGACACCTTAGGAGAACCGACAAGGTTGCTAACCTTTGGTCAGGCTACCATCCTAATAGCCCCTACCTCCACACGTTTTGTCGAAATGCCGAAAATCAATACCTTGGGTGTATGTGTTATAACACGACTGATGCCCTCCTCCTAGCCGAACAAAACTACCCGCCCCAAGTCCACTGGCCGATGTGATACGCCGGCTATCCTCCTCTAGGTTAGCGGTTCGTCGAAGTGCTGATACCAACGGGATGCGACCGTTTAACCGATTTAGAATAGCCTGCGAGAGCAGTGTGGAGTAGTAGCCACTCTGTTGAATCCTCATGTCATCAAGATGAGCAGCCCTATCTGGACATTTGAACAGTTAGGTGAACGGGACCAATTGCTTTTGAAAAAATGTCTTGAAGCTAGTTCTTACCTATGCCGGTACAGCAGGGTGGTGGAGACTAGAGGCACGATCGTGACAGCAAAATTGTCTGAACGTCCACCCGAGTAAGCCTGGATCCCCTACGTGAAGGTGTGTCCTCTCTGTAGGACATTTTTATGTGTGGAGTGAAGAGAAGGAGGTACGGACACATGCACAACACCGCAATCTGGTTCATCCCGCAGTACGCGGCCGCTAGGCGGAACCTAGCTTCGGAAAGCCACAGACCAGCGTTGGATGCCAGTTAAGGGCCGCAAGGAGCAGTCATTACTTGCACGAGGCAAGTAAAGTGGTTTAATACTTCTTGCACACTGGGTCCCTTATTAGACACCTCACTGTACTTAGAATCCCGACTAAAAACAGGTTGTTCAGATTGATTCTGAGATGTGGCCACTCTCTTCTGTTTTAATTCCATAAAGCTAGGCAACTATCCCCTCTCTCTCTCTCTGAGCATTTAAAACTTCAGCCATTAGGTAAAATAAGCTCGAAGTGCACTGATCTCTTTAGTTTGCGGTTTTATTCTTTTCCGAAGGACTGCATGTCAAGGATTCTGACTCAGCTGCACGAGGAGATGATCGCTCTGCGTCGGAAGTTTAGCCCACCCGAACCGGTTATTATACCGCCAGAGTTTCCCGAAATGGAGGATGAGGATGAGAACGAGGGTTGGACCACTGTTGGTACCAGGGGCCAAAAAATTGCCGAGGCTCGTCAGGTTAGTTGTGATCTGGTCTTCTCGCCTCTGCCAACATCTGCATACTGCCCTTTTGTTCTCAATTTTAATCCAAATCCTAAATCTATTTTTTTTTTACTTTCTCAAGTAACCCTTCCCAATAAACCCATTTCAGAATTTCGATTAACCTTTCTATGATATCGTTCACTGATTGCATGTGGACTCCGTGTGGGACGAAGGGATGTTGTTCTGTCGCACTGACACAGGGAAGTGTTAATGTGTGTGTGTCGTAGTCCTTGTTGGATGAGGAGTCCCCGCCGGAATCCAAACTGGTTGTAGTTGGAAGACGGAGGATAGCCGAGACCTCGACCGGCTTAAGCCAGGTGACCGCGGGGGTGAGTTGCGTGTCTGGCCGAGAACTGCAGGCGAACGGATGCTGACAGTCATGCGGAGAAACGCCGCGGTCGGATGTGGATGGGTAGAGCCGGTGTTGGTACTGCGAAGGAGCATTGAGTAGCCAGTGCGTAGTTGAGCCAAAGTACAGCGAGTTACCCTCGGGATTTGTTGTTCTGAGGCTGCAATCGGAGGTGGATTGCCGCCCAAAAGGACCGGGGGATGGTAAACTCGTTTTTTTTCTCGAAAACGGCTCTGGTAAAGACGCTAAAACCTCTCATGGTGGCAGAGCCATCAGCAGTTAGATCTGAGAGACGAGGCGACTGCTTACGTGTAGAGAGCTCGAATAGAATGTAGGTGTGTTCTGTTGCTGCCAATAGTAACGCGCGGAGAGGTACCATACGTGACATCATTTAGGTCGGCTAGATCAGGCCCGATCACAGTCGTATCAAGTCAAGCAAGTGTACCTTTGAACCCGCTATTTGTTTATGTGCGTGACGTGATATTCAAAAAATAGTATCTCAGCTTATTGGCGATGCCAAATGACATCAACCAATGAGGTGATGGGGAATTTTTAGGGGGGAAAAACTGTCGCCCATGGGAGGGTAATATGTTAGGTAGGAACGGAGCAGGCATTGCAGTGGTCACGGAGATTATCGCCAACATGTTGAAGACGCGACCAGATACTTCCTTGCTGATTACGGAGTCCACTGACAAGGCGGCGAAAACAGAAGTAGGCGCCACGATTGTCGACCGTGTGCTGCGAGTCGACACGAGAGAGAACGTTGAGAGTAGATGCGATAACTAACGGGATCACCGCATGTTGCGTAAGGCTAAATATTGTAAATTGCGATCGATTATGTATGCACAATCGTT